GTTTTCAGAGTTTATGCCTTTGGAATGAGAGATTAAATGCTATAGTTGAGTTTACAAATTCATGAACTCGGAAATGTCTTAAGACATCTCTCTCTCAATGTCAAGGATCTTTTGTATCTGTAATCTCTGGACATTCCTTACGCAAATGTAGTACTACATAGAAGAAGTTATTTCCTACCTAAAACTGTATGTCAATTGTACCCTTAGTTTTCATTAACACAATCCTAGAAAATGACTACTATCCTAGGTTAAAGCAGATATTCAAGTCTATAGAAAGTTTCTTAAGTGTATATCTATAAAAGGCTCAGTGAAAAAATATTTGACAGACTGCTTGATTCCTTAAAAATAACTTTTTTAAGTGTCGAACATAATAGATATACTACTCTGGTCTCTAACATTCTAATATACTTTAATGCACAATTAATCAACTTTAATGTACAATTAATATACTTTAATGCACAATTAATCAACTTCCTCCATATGATGAATGTTAAGTGAATTCATATTCATATTGACATAGGAACTGCTTTAACAGTTGTAGTACAAAAGGCAAATATAATTTATTATCATATACTCATCAGTTTGCCTCATCACACACTTTTTTTCTAGAGCCAATTTCAATTCTCTATTACTCCAATTTAGTGTTTTGAAGAAAAATCTGCTTTTCTCAAAATTCAAAACAAAGAAATTCACCATGGCTTAAAGTAGCACTTACTAGAAGATTAAAGTCAGTCTCTTAATCCTTTAAAATTTTACAAAAACATTAAAATACTTCATTCGAATATAAAAAAATAAATGTCCCAGTCTATTTACTAATTCATTGTGTTTAATTTGTTGAGTTTCCAAATCTTAAAACACAAACACAAAGCAGATTCCTTATTTACTAGAGAATGTGCAACATTTTTGTTTCCATTCATGATGATTTTCCTTATTCAGCTCTTAGGCCACAAAAGAACTTACTTAAATTGTATTTCTATTTTGGCTTGGGCCTGATACTTTCAAAACTTATTTCACACTTTAAAATGATTGTAACTACTAAACCTGACACTCGTCCTTCAAAAACTATTTCATGTCATTGAATCCTGTAAGAATTTCTTAATCTTTACTTATCTGGCTATCAGAATAGAATTCCATCACTATTCATTATTTTTACTATGATTCTCTTGTGTTTCCAGACATTGTTTGTTGAAATCTGAAATCATTTTTTACCTTGTCAAGTGTTTCTGCGTGAAAGGTATTATTAAGAATTATTGTGAGACAGTAATGAGAAATCAACTAATGCAGACATTAAATTCACCAAGAACATACAGAAAAACTACACTGTATTACCTACTTTCAGGAAGAAAGAACAAATTATAAAGCAAATATGTTATTAAAGATATAAAAATAACTTTCACAGTAGGGCCTGGGTACAAAACCACCGAACCCTAAGTATTTTCACAAAATCGGCATTCTGTTAACTTCTTAAAAGGCCATAAGCCTCCAAGAGATTTAAATAGGTTCTTTACTATGTAAGGCAAGTATAATACTATACTTTCGAATTGTCTTCTATAACAAACACTGTTATTTGGCTCTTCATTAACAACAAATCTCGCTATGGATATCCTATTTCCTAAGCTTTCTGGTCAATTAAGATTTTACTATAGCATATTGATAACAGTGTCTGGTTATTATATTTATTAGATCATGACGCTAAGACTTCAAACTGTTTTTGATAAGGATCTAGTATCCAGAATAAACAACTCTTACAAAATCAACAATAAAAAGACAAATAAACCAACTTAAAAAGGACAAAGGCTCCAGACAGACATTTCTCCCAGAAAGATATACAAATGGCCAAGAAAAGATGTTGCATGTCATTAGATAAATGCAAATCAAAACTACAAAGAAATACCACTTCACATCTACTAGGATGGCTGTAATCAGGAAGACAGGTAATAATGGGTGTTGATGAAGATGAAGAAACTGGGATCCTCGCACAATGCTGGTGGAAATGAAAAATGGTACAGCTGCTTTGGAAGAGAGTTTGGCAGTTCGTCAAAATGTTAAATGTAGATTTATTCTATTCCTAATTATACCCAAGATAAATGAAAACATATTCACACAAAAACTTAGACACATATGTTCATAGCAGCATCACTGATAACAGCAAAAGTGGAAGCAACCTAAATGTCCATCAAGTGATGAATGAATAAACAAAATGTGGTATAGCCATAGCCATACAATTCAGCCATAAAAATGAATACTTACACACACAAAAACATGAATGAACCCTGAAACAATTAGGTAAGTAAAATAAAGAAGCCAGATAACAAAAGGCCACATATTTATTGTATGGTTCCACCTACAAAAAATGTCAAAAAAAGGCAAATTCATAGAGGGAAAAAAATAGATTAGTGGTTGCCAGAGGCTAGAAAGAGACTGGGGCTCCTTTGGAGGGTCAAAAATGTTCTGAAATTAGGTAGTAGTGTATATACTAAAAACTACTTAATTTTACACTGAAGAAAAAGTGACCTGAACACTAAAAATTACAAAAAATTGTTGAGCCCTAGCCAGTCTAGCTGAGCAGTGGTTAGAGCATCAGCCCGTGGACTGAAGGGTCACAGGTTTGATTCTGGCCAAGGGCATGTACCTCGATTGTAGGCTCAATCCCTGGCCCCCGTGGTCAGGGGAGGTGTGGGAGGCAACCAATTGATGTGTCTCTCACATGGATGTTTCTATCTCTCCCTCTCTTTCTTCCACTCTCTCTGAAAAGCAATGAAAAAAATATCCTCAGGTGAGGATTGGGAAAAAAAAGAAGTTGTTGAAAGACATTTTAAAAAGACCTGAAAAATCAGAAAAATATCCTGTGCTTATGGATTGGAAAATTTAATATTGTTAAAATGACAATAATCCTCAAATTGACCTACAAATTCTATATAATCCCTGTTAATACCACGTGGCTTTTTTACAGAAATCAAAACTTTGCATAAAATTCATATGGAAATACAAAGAATCCAGAGAAGCAGATCCAATCTTGAAAACAGAACAAAAACAAAGATGGAATACACACTTTTCAATTTCAAAACTTAACTACAAATCTACAGTAATTAAGACAGTGTGGCACTATTAGAACAGATAAATAGATCAATGAAACAGAATTAAGAGTCCAGAAATAAACCCTCACATTTATGGTCAACTGATTTTCAAAAGGGCACCAAGATAATTCAAAGGGGGAAAGAACAGTCTTTTCAACAAATGGGGCTGGGAAAATTAGATACCCACATCTAAAAGAATGAAACTGGACTCCTACTTTATATTATTCATAAACATAAAGTCAAAATTGATCACACACCTAAATCTAACAGCTAAATCTTTAAAAATCATAGAAGAAAACATAGGTGTAAATCTTTGAGACTTGGGATTAGGCAATGGTTTCTTAGATATTAAACCTACAGCACATGTATCAAAAGAAAAAACAGATAAACAGGACTTAATCAAAATTTAAAACTTTTGTGTAGTAAAGGGAGAAAATATTTACAAATCATATATCTGATAAGAGTCTAGTACCCAATATATACAAACAACTCAATAACAATTCTCCAAAGAAGACATACAGATGGCCAACAAGCACACTATTCATCAGGAAAATACATATCAAAACCACAGTGAGAAACCACTAGGATGGCTATGATTTCAAAAAGCAAACAAGTGTTGAGGATATGGAGTGAGAATGTAAAATAGCACAGCTGCTTTGGAAAATTGTCTGACAGTCCCTCAGAAGTAAGCATAGAGTTACCATCTGACCTACCAATTCCATTCCTAATTATACATCCAAGAAAATTACAAACAGATGCTCACTCAACTTGTACATGAATTTCCTAGCAGCATCATTCATAATAAGCTGAAACAATCTAAATTCAATCAACTGAAGAATGGATAAGCAAAAAGTGATAAATTTATACAATGAAATATTATTCAGTCATGAAAAAAAATGAAGTACTAACATATGCAATAACATGGATAAACCTTGAAAACCTTCTAAGTAAAAGATGCCAGACACAAAAGGCCATATACTGTATGATTCCATTTGTATGAAATGTCAAGAATAAGCAAATCCTTAGAGACAGAAAGTAGATTAGTGGTTGCCAGGAACTAGAGAGAAAGGGAGTAAGGAGTGACTGCTAATAAGCATGGCGTTTCTTTTTGAAGTGAGGAAAATGTTTGAAATTAGATAGTGGTGGTAGTTGTACAGTTCCATAAGTATACTAAAAATCACTGAATTATACACTTATAAAAGGATGAATTTTGTCATATGTAATTATATTTCAAATTTTAAAATGTTTTTTTAAATTAATTTTTTAAACTGAATTTATTGATTGGGGTGACATTGGTTAATAAAATTATATAGGTTTCAGGGGAACAATTCTATAATTCATCTTCTGTATATTGCACTGTGTGTTCACCACCTCAAGTCAAGTCTCCTTCAATCACCATTTTTACCCCCTTCACCCTTTTACCTCCCCCTGCTCCCTTTCCCCTCTGGTAATCACCATAGTGTTGTCTATTTGACTATGACGTTTTTGTTTGTTTGCTTGTTTTTGCTTAATTCCTTCACCTTTTCACACAGCACCCCCTAAAATAACAGTTACATGGTGGCTTAAGTTACCTAAACATTTCTTTTCCATAATCCAGCGATTTTCAACTCGTGTGTTGCAAAAATTTAGAACATGCAATGCATGAACAGTCAGGAGCACTGACCTCTTTTCCCTTAGACTGTGATACAAAAAAAAAAAAATGACAACAGCTAACACAATAATAGCTGTCCATTGTGAATGAATCAAAATTATACCTATTTTTTTTTTTGTCAGATCAGCAAAAAGTACACTTTTTGGTGTGCCGCAGAGTTTTAATAATTAGTTTATGAGTGCCATGAGATGAAAAAGGCTGAAAATCACTGCCATAGTCTGATAAAAATATATTGTCCTATATACAAAGACATAACCTTTCACTAATCTTACCAATTTTCAAATCATCAGCCAGACTTTCTTTTGTAAGATTCAACAATTCTCTCCCATCAATGTTATTCATTTTGAAAATACCAACGAGGTCTTTTAAATCTTGTGCACAAAGCCACGTTGAGACATCATCTTCGGACCAATCTTCAGTAAACTGCCTCAGTTGATCTTCTGTGCTCCTTGCTTTAAAAACAAACAAAAACCCCCACAAACAGGCAAGTGAAATAAGGCAAGTGAAATAACAACAAACAAAAGAAAAAAACTGTTTCCTTTATAAATTAAAAAGTAAATAAAAGTATTTTACTACTTTAACATCCCTTTAAAATTTTCAGAAAATCAAATAGCATGTGTATTTAAAGCATTATTTAATACATTAAATACTACTTTTTTACTAAATAAAAACAATGCTTCTTTATTATATAAAATTCTTATGAGGAAAAGAATTCTATTGGCTCTATCATCTGCATATCAGCACCACTATTTGGTTACTTCTGGCAGTGATAAAAATAAAAAATAAAAACTCTTAAATTATGTTAGCATTGCTTGATGATGCCAAAAGTAAAACCAACAAAATAAAACTATAATTTCTATTTTGTTCACAGGCTATATTTATCTGAAAAATGAGTATGGAGGATAAATAAATAGCTTACAAAACTATGGGAAATATGATATACATGAATGTGCATCCAAAGTATTTATCGACAGTTTTAAATTAGGTCAATGACTTTAACACTGTCTTCTCTAAAATTAGTTTTAAATTATATTAAATATGGATGTATACTTTATACTGAAGAAAGCAATGTTAATAATTTGCCAGGAAAATACTCAATTTCTGATTTTAATGGTGAACAAGGTTGTACTGGGTTACATATGATGTCCTTACTAACCTTGGCAAAGTGTTTCCAGGTCAAACTGCCAGATGTTCACTCTTTTGTCCATTGAACCAGTAGCAAGTAAAAGGATATGGGGTGCAAAGGCACAGGTTGTGACATACCTAGTTAATAAAAACAACTATTATGTATCCTCAGGCTAATTTTTAAATTATATTAATACAAAGTAAGGTTAAGTTCAGACCTGGTATGCTGAGTCAACGTGTGAAGTATATTCTCAGAATTCTGAAAAAACAAAAAAACAAAAAACAGCTTTGCATTTACTCAGGCAAAAGTTACTAATAAAAACTTGTTTGACATAAATGATTTATATACTCTGTATTTTAATATTATTAGTCACTAATATAGGCTGAAACTTTACCCAATGAATAAAGAATAGCATCTATACCTAATTATATTATCAGGTACTTATTTCACTCTTTCTTAATTATCAGCACTATTGTCTACTGGCCGCTTTCCTATATAAATTTTTAGTATAATGTACTCTTGTCTTTTGCCAATTTTTTTGAACTTATTAATAGTAACCTAAACATCTATTACAGGAAAGAATTTGTATTTTTGCTATAGCATTTGACTTGTACCCACTGTAGGACCATGAGTAGAAATTAGTCACTTAGATTCTGAGCCCACTTTGCTGGCCGTCCAGCATCAAGATGAATATAACAGACTCATATACATATTTTATGGAGAACGAATTCTTTTTCTAAATTTAAAAATCTCATTACAAGTTCATCAGAAATATTAAGGACCCACTTCTCCTGATCTGAGTTTTCTTTCTCATTTCCTTCCAGACTCAATGGTCTGAACTTCTACATGGAGGCCTACTTTAGATTCCTTGCTTGACCCACTCGCTTTATCTGCATCTCCATTTCATTTGCTGGCACAGCTACAGCCTGAACTCGATCACTGTAAGTCTTTCCTCAACACTGACTTCTCTTGGAGAGTATTTTCATTAACTACATCTTCACTATATGTAAAATGTTCATTTTTCTTCATATTCATGCAACCTGGTCTTTATTCACATGGTTTTACCAAAAACTCCCATTTTTCCAAAACCATTGTAACCTACTCTTCCTTGCACTGGTCTCTAAATCTAGCCAGGACTCTAACAGTGGTTGGCCACTGTGGGCTATACCCTCACATACCTGGGATAAACATTCATTCTTTGTTGTTATGAAAACCTGGTATAAAATTTTAAGAATAATTTATATAAATGATCTTTTGGATATCGGTACTCTTTAAATCAGTATTTTCTTTGATCAGATTAAACATCAGTCCATCTTAAAATCATAATTGAAATATTTAAAGACTCATCCCAGAACCAATACCTTACTTGCATAATTATTTTAGCATTTATGAAAATGTTTATATTATATTCTTGGGCAACCTAAACAGAAAAAAGGGTGTACTTTTTTTTTCATCTTCCCTAACTTGAAGTTCAATAGCTTAATAAACATACTTTACACAGATCACACATGCAAGATTTTGAAATACTTACAATGTCATACACTATGACAGACTTATCCACAGATCTTTAAAAGAAAAAAAAAAAGCAAAAAGTTCTATAAAAACAAAGTATAGCATTTATTAGTATTTTAAAATCATTTCAATAACTTTAGAAAAAGCTGAAATATTGATATACAAACATTTAGAATATACTCTTTATTCATATGTATAAACTTTTATTCAAAACAGTTCATGCCATATATGAAATTTATCAGAAAATTATCCACTTTATTAAGCAGTAGCATATGTTATTTATACTCTTAGCCTTACAGAGAATAAGTATTTGTCATGTATAAATAAGACGCAATTCCATATCAAGTTAGTAACTCAAAGGGAAAAACCAGTACAAGGAAAAGCTTTTACTTGCTACTTGGTTTTTGTTTCGGATATTCTTTATCTGAAACAAAATGTTCTTTATCAGTGATATGCCTGTGCCTTAATTATGAATCAATGTATATGTCTTGATTGGGACTCATTTTTGAAAATTATAATTCTAAACTTGATAGAAACTCTACATGGTTTTGGTTAATGGTATAAAAATTAAAAACCACCATCAGGGGTTAGTCTAGTAGTAGAAAAAAATCATCATACAAAAAAAGTGTAATACTACACAAAGTACATAATTAAAAACAGATAAATATGCTTCTATATGATATTTTCCCCGTTTGTACTTATATTAAAAGGTAGCTGATGATAGTCTAACCACAGGAGTCATACCTATGGAAGTCTTAAAATTCCTTTCAGCCCGGCCGGGCGTGGCTCAGCGGTTGAGCATCGACCTAGAATCCAAGCGATCGAGGTTCGATTCCCCGTCAGGGCACATGCCCGAGTTGCGGGCTTGGTCCCCAGCGGGGGGCCGTGCAGGAGGCAGCCGGTCAATGACTCTCTCATTATTGATATTTCTATCTCTCTATCTCCCTTCCTCTCTCTGAAATCAATAAAGATATACTTTAAAAAAATAAATTAAATTAAATAATGACAACTAATTATTTGGCAAGGACTGGGGTATATGGGGAAAAGAACTATCAGTCTTAGTTTAGTCTGGAACATTTTAAGTGGAAGTTAGGTGCCTGGATATCTTGGATGGAGCCAAAGTTGCTATGAAGAGCCATGAATGTGGATCTGAATGTTATGGCCTGTGAGATCAGACAGGAACATTTTAGAAAATTCAATGGCAGGAAGGAGAAAACATACAAAGTATTCAAACAGAGAATATAAAGTAATTAAATCATGCTACTGTGTCCCAAGCCATTTGTTTTAAGCACTATAGAGCTTTGAAAAAATAAAAGTCAAGATTAAAATTTTCAAGAGAGAACAGAAATTAAAAAAAAATGATACAGTGAACTTGAAAAAAAATAGCCAAATAGAAATTCTAGAACCAAAAAATAAAATAGCCAAAATTAAGGACTTGTCAACTGATCAGTTTCATAGCACATTAGATGAAGAGAGAATCAGTAAAGGGAAACTATTCAGAATAAAGCACAAGAAATATAAGAATGAAAAATATAGAAGAGAGAATAAGAGACAAAGTTTACAGTAAGAAAGTATAATTTGCATGTAATTGAAGTGCCAGAATCAAAGGAGAGAAATAAAAAATCTAGATACATTAAAGTGTCTAGATTTGAAAATATCAAAGTATCTAGATACATCAAAGTATCTAGATGTAGAAAACCACAGACAAAAACAAAATTTTGTGAGTAGGTAGCAGGAAAATAAAATTACAACTAAAGGAACAGAATAAAACTGACTTCCTTCCCTATGGCAATACACAAAAATAATGTCCTAACTTAGGTTTATTATAACAAAGCAAGGTTGGCTTAACATTTGAAAAATTGGTATAATTTACCACACTAATACAACAAAAGAGAAAAATATAATCATTTCAAAAGATGTAGAAAAATCATTTGATAAGATAGAATACCTATTCATAACAAAAATTATCCTTACAAACCAGAAGGAACGGAAAAGCTAATAAAGCTTATATCCCAAAAACGTACAGTGACCATGCTTAATAATGAAAGCTTTCTTTTTGCAATGAGGAATCAGACAATGGCTTTTATCACTATTTCCATTATCTTGGTAGTGTTAGCCAGATCAGGAAGGCATAGAAGATATTCAAGGTATAAGGATTAGAAGAGACAAAAACCATCATTAACAGACGATGTGATTTTGTACATAAAAAATCCAAAATTATTGTTTTTATAGATAAACCCATTTCTTTCCATATAGATTCATCTATATTAGCCACATCTTTTATAACAGCAACAAAAAATTAGGTACCTAGAAATAAATCTAATAAAAGATGAGGAACCTCTGTATAGAAGACAATTATTAAAAGAAATCAAGACAAATAAATGGAGAAATAGTCCATCTTCATCTATTAGAAGACTCAATATCATAAAAATATCAATTCTCCCCAGATTTATCAGACACAATATAATCCCAATCAAAATCTAAACAGGTGTGTGCAGAGGGGGGAATTGGAGGCAATTTGACAAGCTAATTATAAAATTTATACTTAAGTGTCAATTTATATAGAAGCCAGGAACAACTGAAATATAAAGCCTTAGAAAATAGAATGGTAGGAGAGTAAGGGTGGGTAAACAGAAAAATAGAATAGCAGGCTGAGAAACAGACCCACACACGTGTGATCAATGATTTCTGACAAGGTAGCATATCAAAGTAGGTTTTTCAATATACAGTGCTGGATAACCCTACATCCATATGGAAGGAAATGAAACTGAATTCCTATCACACATCCTACAAATCAAATTTGAGGAAGAAACAACAAAGAAAGTTTTAGGAGACAATACAGGAAAATATCTTCATGACCTTAAAATATAAACAAACCACTGCCCTGGCTGAGGTGGCTCAGTTGGTTGGACATCACCCTGTGCACTGAAAGGTTTCCAGTTCGATTCCCAGTCAGGGCAAATGCCTGGGTTGAGGGTTCAATTTCCGGTACGGGGTGTGCAGGAGGCAGCCGATCAATGTTTCACTCTCACATTGATGTTTCTCTCTCTCTCTCCCCCTTCCTTTCTTTCTAAAAATCAAGTTTTAAAAATCTTTTAAAAAATTAGAAAAGGAACTACTGAAATTATAAACTGTAAAAAGGCAAATCCATAAGGTAGGAAAAAATATTTGCAACATGTATAACCAATAAATGGCTCATATACAGAAATACAGAAAGAAGAAAACATATTTAACAACAAATCAGTCAGAAAAAGATAATCCAGAAGAACAATGGGCAAGAGACTTGAACAGGCACTTCATAAAAGGGGAAATATATGTGGCCAATAAAATTCTGAAAAGATTCTAACCTCATTGTTTCAGGAAAATGCAAATTAAAGCCATGGTAAGATAACACTTCACATCCATCAGAATAGCTAAAATTAAAAAGATCCACAATACCAAGTATAGGCTAGGACAGGAAATAACACTGCTATAGGAGTATTCAGCACTTGGAAAACAACTCGGTGTTACCTGCCAAAGTTGAAAATACAATGATTCTATGACCCATCAATTCCATTCCTATGTATTTATCCCACAGAAACACATGAAAACATGTGCAACAGGAGATACAGATATATTCATAAAATTATTATTGTAATGCTCCCAAGCTGGAAATAGTCCATATGCTCATCAACATTAACATGAATAAATTACAGTACATACATGCAATGGAATATTACACAGCAATGAAAACTAATAAACTACGGCTATATGCAAAAATATGAATGTCACAAACATCATGTTGAGTAAAAGAAGCCAGATATAAAATAATTCACATTATATGATTTGTTTTAAATCAGTTTAAAAGAAAAAAGCAATGCTGCTTAGACCTGAGGTGCTGTCACTGGAAAGAGACACTCGGAAGAGGAGGACTTCTGGAGCAGAACCAGCAATGTTATACTTCTTGACCTGAATAGTGGTTACAGGTTTGTATCACAGTAATTTATCAAGCAATTCTCTTATGTTTTACGCACTTTTCTATATGTCTGTTCTATTTCATATCAAAACTGTTTAAAGAAATTAAAACTAAATAACTTACCCTGAGACTAACATCTGCCCATTGTGAGAAAAAGCACAAGCCAGAACAGGAGCACTGTGCCCACTCAGTGCACTTTTATATTTTAATTCAAAGCCTGCAAATAATAAGGGGAGAAAAATTAGCAAGCTGGCCTTGCTTAGGATTCATTCTTAAGTCAAAAAACTATTACACTTATTTATTCAATTAATCTTCGAGTGCCTAAAGGACACAAATGCAAAAAATCCTCAAGAAACTCAGGTATTGGAATGCAGTATGATTAAGTGGTTTCAAAAGTTCAGAAATGCATAAAGAAAACTGTGTACTCAGCAAACACTAGACAGAGGGTTGCTATAATTATCAAATGTTTAAAATATATAAAAATTTGAAGTATATTACAATCTTGGTATTAATTTTAAAATGTTATATATTTTAATTAATATACATATACCAATTGCCCAAATGTCTAAAAAGAATGAGATACCTGTAGCTTTTAAAATCTGATGTTAAGTATTTTCTCATTTCATAAATGAAAAATGGTAATTTATACATCCTATGATTCCAATATATCTTATAATATGCATGCCAAGTATGATAACACTAAAATCCTTTTATGCTTTCTATAAGCACTTGAAAAGAAATATCACAACTATTTTAAAGGTAAACCAAGGGAATTCAATATATTGTAATGACAACCTACACAAATAATTATTAAAAAGAAAATTGGCCCGGCCAGGTGTGTTCAGGGGTTGAGCATCAACCTATGATGCAGGAGATCGTGGTTCGATTCCCGGTCAGGGCACGTGCCTGGGTCGTGGGCTCAATCCCCAGTGGGGGTCTTGCAGAAGGCAGATCAATGACTCACTCATCATTAATTGTTTCTCTCTCTCTCTCTCTGAAATCAATAAAGATTTTTAAAAAAGAAAAAGAAAATTGGTGTGAGGGGACAAGGAACTAAGTGAAATCTATAATTTCCTCAGACCTAATAAAAACTTTTTTGAAGTGTTAATGGCTCATAAGGATGGCAAGCATTTACCTAAACTCAAAGGTCATTAGAGCAAGTGTCAACAACAAATAGGTTTTCTTCTTTACTATTAAATATATATTTAATTTCTATTCAAAATAGAAAAAAATATATATATTTTTATCCAGGAGAACCGATGTGGGCATTAAAAGCACTCACTATGTGGAACATATAGATCAACAAGTAGGCATATCGATCAGAGCAAAAATGTTAAGCTGCCAACCAAATGAAGACCACAAAACTTGCAATATGACCATAAGAAAAGGTTCTATTCTCAAATATAAGATCCATATGTCTAGCTACTTCCCCCCTACATATAAGCAACTAAAATTAGTTACAAGTCATGACAAATGCTTTATTAAAAGGCTTTAACTGCACGTCTGTAAATTGTTTTTTAAAGAATCAGTGGAAAGACATTTTCCAGACAATGTATGAAAAGCTTTACTTTTGAACAATTTTATTAAAAATATATTGTTTCACCCTGGCTGGTGTTGCTCAGTGGTTAGAGCATCAGCCCTTGCACCAAAGGGTCTCGGGTTTGATTCCTGGTCAAGGGCACGTGGCTGGGTTGCAGGTTTGATCCCTGGACCCAACCAGGGTGGGTGGATGAGGCAACCAATTAATGTGTCTCTCTCACACTGATGTTTCTCTCTCTCTTCCCCCTCCCTCCCTCCCTTTGACTCTTTCTAAAAATCAATGGAAAAAATATCCTCGGGTGAGGGTTAACAACAACAAATACATACATATAGTGTTTAGAACATCTACACAAGTGATATTCATGGCTTCTTTTTTTTCAAAATTGATTTGAGAGAGAAGGGAAGGAAAGAGGAAGGGAAGAAGGGGGAGGGCAGGAGGAAGAGAGGGAGAGGGAAAAGGAGACAGAGACAAAGAAAAAAACCTTGCTGTCCCACTTATTCATGCATTCATTGGTTGCTTCCAGTATGTGCCCTGAACCGAGATGGAACCCACAACCTTGGTGTATTGGGATGATACCATAACCAACTGAGCTACCCAGCCAGGGCTATTCATGGTTTCTTATAAGAATTTTACTTTGATAGGTAGGAACAGAAGGAAGAGGTAGGACAGACGAAAGAAGTAAAGGAACTCTATCCACATCAGCAAGTAACTAAATACATTAGAAGAATTACTAAGTGTAACCTAATGTGCAATGAATTAACTAAATTTCCACATGAAGAAATGCATCTATTTCCTGGTAATAGGCCCTTCTCTATACACTAATATAATGACAAAGATTCTCTCCTTGACAATTCTGCCAGGCTCTTATGTGCCCTCTTCTCGAATAGTCCTTGATCTTGGCCTATAGAGACATGAACACAGTTTCTAAGGGCTCAAGGTTGCATCCCCAGGATGACCCTAGCCCCCTTAAAGTGCCTGCCTGAGAAAACTCAAGGCTGTCAAAAAAATTTTACTATGGGTTTCAGCCAACACCTGAAAATAGGGCTCCTGACTCCCAGGCTCAGTGGGAAGGTAGGAGCTTAACTTTCACAAGCTTCAATTAGCAAACCCAGATGAGTTTCACATGGAACAATTCCACTTCTTCCTGCTTTCTGTAATTTTTCACTTCCTTGACTCTACAGACCACCCACTTAGCCACCTCATTCCATCATTCTTCCTTTAAAAAGCTGTCACCTCTGTATTATCTGAAGTAGAGTTCAGTTCATGCTGGACTTTTTCCTATTGCAATAGTATATTACTGGTTAAAATCTGTCCTTACCACTTTAACTACTGTACCTCTTTGTTTACCTTTGATAATAATTATGAACAACAAAATGTAGTCTGTGATATAACTGAAACTTAATAGATAATAAAATATTTTTAGGCATCTGAAGCAGATGGCCAATTGACCCTGTATTTCAGAATTCCCATTAAAATGGTAATAAATGAATTAATAAAGATATAAATTCACATCAATGAAGAGAACAGGAAGGAGGCATCAACAAATCAGAAATTAAAAGCAAATTAATTGATGAGGTAGTTTAGAGGAGTAACAGCCCAGAATGCCAAGAGAAATTAATCTGCCTTAGGAAACCCCAAAAGACTTGGGACTATCAACATCCAGAAAAAAGGAAAGCCTGAATGACACAAATACAGACCTAGAAAAAGTACCTAAAAGTTTATGAAACACTCAGTATCTTCCTCCAGTCCCTCCCTGACCCACCACAGCATGTTGCTCCACAATCAGATGCTCTCCCCAGGCAAACATTTCTAAGGAAAATAACTGCCAGGGGAGATGCATGGCAGGTCCAGAGGTAAGAAAACCCAAATTCTCTAAGCCCCCAGCTCTTCCCAGTAAGGGCCAACAGCCCACCTCCTTAACTAAAGGGAAGCCAGCAACAACAAATCACCATGTGCACAGACCTTCTAAACATCTTATCATTGTCTAATTCTTAAATATCAATAGAATACAAGATCACCAGACATTTTCTTTAGGTAACTACATGAAAGAAAAAGATCAGGGTAAACCAAAAAAATGGCCCAAGAGCAAACAAAGATGATCAGGGGGGAAAAGGAAACTTAAAAACAAAACAAAAAGTCTCTCATTGGTATCCTGAGTTTTTTTCAAGGATCTTGCATTCATAAAATAAAAGGAGACTATGACAAAGAAACAGAGAAGATCAGCTTTTAGAAACTGAAAATGTGATTGATGAGATGAAAAAAATTCAAAAGAAAGTTAAAAGATAAAACTGAGGAAATTTTTCCATAAAGTAGAAAAAAAGATAGAAAGATAAATGTGTGTGGGGGGGGACGACAAAGAATCAGAAGGACCAACACAATTAATGGGAGTGATACAAAGAGAGGAAGTAGAGATGAAATTATTAAAGAAATAACATAAAGAAATACTGTATTCCAAAATTGAACGACTTCAGTTTCTTGACTGAAGGAATAGTATGATGCATGAGGAAAAGATCCCCTCCCCAAAAAATAAACTATAACTACAGTGAATAAATATAAAATATGCTAGTATAAACAGTATTTGTAGACTCTGTGAAAACCACCAAAAGACTTGAAAACAGGTAAAGTGCAAAATGTAGTTACCTCTGTGTGTGCTGGTGGTGAGCTCACAACCAGCAGTGAGCAAAAAATTTTTAAATCATTTGTATGTATTACTGACTAAAAGTTCTTAAAAACATTTTAATAATCACTCTTAGGTATCCAGAGTACTTTAGGTAAACATATTAATTACAATAGAAATTTTATCTGGATCACAAATAATTTTAGAGAACTACTCATTGAATACATACCTAAGATATGGCTGAAAGAAACCACCCAAATTTTGATCTGGCAATCCTGACCACATGATGCTAATCGAAAACACTGAAGACCTTGCTCTCCATCTAAAAAGGTAAATTTGTTAAAAATAAATACCTAAGAATTGATAAAACATTTAAACCAAAAAATTTTCTTATACTGAGATGTTAATTCTATTCATATGAACCATGCAAGCAATATTAATTACCTTATATCATATAATGAAATGTCAGTTGAAGAATTTCTTTTAAACAAGGTTCTTCAAAAGATTATAACTTTAGCTCCTAAAGTTGTTACAACTAAATATCTTTTTATTTAGCTTCCACTAAGAATATAACAGAAGGCGCCCGGCCGGGCATGGCTCAGCAGTTGAGCGTTGACCTAGGATCCAGGCGATCGGGTTTGAGTCCCGGTCAGGGCACATGCCCGGGTTGCGGGCTCGATCAATGACTCTCTCATCACTGATGTTTCTATCTCTCTCTCCCCCCCTCCTTTCCTCTCTCTGAAATCAATAAAGATATATTTAAAAAAAAAAAAAAAAGAATATAACAGAAGGCTGCAAGGGCCAGTACTGAGTCACTAAGCCTCAGGCATCCTCCAAACCAATTTTAGAGTCCATGAGGTTAGCACTGACAGAAAAAATGTCGGTTATGATATGAATGTTAAATATTTATTCCCAACTTAAGGATACAGCCATTTCTTAAAAGCTTAGACTATACTTATATGAAATAATAATGAGATTTTTTCACATTTGATTTAATCATAACAAAGGCTGGAATTATATAAATCCAAAATAATATCAATTCAGTCCATTTGATTTGGTCGCAAATATTACACAAATTAGGGAATGTAATCAATTAGATTTGGTGTCTCCAAATAACCCCCACTAGTTTTTTATGCTTACTTGGATAATTTCAGGTATTACTATATACCCACCAGATAAGTTCCTAAATACTGGTGGATAAGCTCTGGCTGGTTTGGCTCAGTGGAGCGTCAGCTCATGGACTGAAGGGTTACAGGTTCAATTCCCAGTCAAGGGCATGTACCTCGATTGCAGGCTCGATCCCCAGCCCGGGTCAGGGCTCATGTGGGAGGCAACCAATCGATGTGTCTCTCTCACATCGATGTTTCTCCCTCTCCCCTCCTCCCTGCCTCCACTCTAAAAAAATGTAAATGGAAAAAAATATCCTTGAGTGAGGATTAAAAATAAGTAAATAAATACTTGTGGATAATGTAAATATTGATATCAACTCAATTTTATGAGCTCACCTAATACCACAGATCAGTTTCATCAAGGAAGTTTCATCACTCACATGCAGTAAGACCCAATTAAGAAACTTAGTATCCATCTTAATATTGCACTCTGGTTTTGTAAATATTCAGTACATGGCACTTAAATAAAATATTTTATATACCTGAGTATATAAAATAAAATTTTTTCTATGGACTCTGTCTTGTTGACAGCACATACACTTCATTAACATGACAAATTAACTTCCTTCTCATTGAAAGTTTTTCTAACTTGATGGGACTTCCACATTTCAACAGCATTTTGGTTTTTAATAGCACAGGTTCAGCCAAAAGGCATCCCTTCTGAGAAAGATACTGATGAATATAAACAATTCCTGATTATCATTAAGCCTTTTTAAGGCAAAACATTTGACTCAATAAATGGCTAGACTCAGGAAAAGTTTTTTCATTGTTTGATGGAATAGATCCTTTGAGGTTAATTCTGAACTTTAAGTAGTGAGAATTCAGCTAGGACAATGGAAAATTATGGATCTTAAAACATGCCTATGTTCAATAGATAAATATAATATTTAGAAATATACTTTTCTTCAGGAAGATATTTAAATTGTAATAATAACCTAATCCAAGTTTTCTTTATCATTTAAAAACTAGAGACAGAGACAGAGAGAAAGAGAGAGAGAGAGATAGGATATGACTTTGGGTGTTGGGCACACAATGCAATATACAGATCATGTATCATAGAAATGTATTCTTGAAACCTATATGATCTTATTAACCAATGTCACCCAAATAAATTTAATTTAAAAAAGAAAGAAAAACAAGCTAACATCCAATCTCCATTTACAGGCATTCCTCTTTGTACTGCACTTCACAGATGTGTTTTTTACAACAATACTGCAACTCACATTATTACCATACTTGCTTTATTGTGCTGGTCTGGACTGACACCACAGTATCTCAGAGGTATGCCTGTATACAAATTAGATGTTATCAAATGTCCTTCCTCCTAGTCTAGTGCTATTCTCACTATAACTTCCTTTTCTAGTTGCCTGCTTTATTTCTAAGTAGGAATACCTATGCAACAGCCTCTCTAAAAGGTAAGACATATTTGGACTGATGTTTAAAAACTTTTAAATTCTCCAAATTAAAAAAATTGGGCTTTTTTGTAAACTATAGACGTTTTATAGGTATACAACAGTTGCTTAAAAAAACAACTGTAGAGAACTGATTTATCCTCAGGCACAAACGAGATTATTTTTCCTTATTTGAGCAAAATATCGCAAAGACAGAACAGTCAATATATCATAAGTATTTACTGATATTAACAAATACCAATTTAACAATAACAAATTAAAATTACACACTGTGTCTTTTACGAAAACACAGTAGTTCCCACAAATTCCTGTAACAATCCCTTTTAAAGCATATATCAATCAATCTGTTTCAGGAAATTTACACAGGGTTAATATCTCAACATAAATTGAACTAAAGAAACTGAAGAGGCACAGATTGGAATTACACTGAGAAATATACTTGGACATATACTCTAAAGGCAGGCTAAGTATGTAGGTATTACAATTATTTTAGAATCTCACCTAGAATTCTGTGCCTGGTTTAATGAACCTTTCCAGGCCCCACCTGCTGCCAATCCCTCTAAAGACAGAACAAGGATGCCCTTAGTTTTACTCTAATATTAACATAATAATGGCATTTGAACTGAAAATCTATTTCAGATCATTTAGACTCAACAAGGAAACCTAAATCTCCCTACATTTCTATAATTCATCAAAGACTTATTGGGAGCATATAAAATCTGGAGCAGGTGCCACAGAGTGGAACAAATGGTTCTTGTCTGTTACAAGATGGTCTTAGACTAAAACAGCATAAAACAGCATATTAACAAAATAAATCATAATTAAACTAGGTAGGGAGTTTAATACAAGAATGGGTTCATGAAAAGGACATCTGTATTAATTTGCTACATGTTAAAACACTGAAAAACAAAACTTCAGCAAATCATTAAAAAGATTCTTACTCATCAGTCTTCCTCTCAAGGCTTACTATGAACCAGGCTCTAGGAAACACACCCAGGCCCTGTCCTCACAGAGCTTTCAGTCTAGGAAAAACACCATCAAGCATAATCTACATAAATAAACATATAAGTAAAAGTTGTGAGACTACTGTGAAAGAAAAAGTATGGAAATAAAAGGCTATCAAAATGCTTTAGACTGAGTTCAGGAGATAAGAGCAAGCAAGGGAGGCTCATCTAAAGGGACTTATTTTCCGCTGAAATCTAAAGGATGGTTAAGAGTGAACCAGGTGAACGGTCCACAGAGAAAAATCTTAGAAACACTGAAGAAATGAAATAAGGCCAGTGTGGCAAGAGAATGCATGAGGCCAAGTGGGATTTGAGATGAGGCAGGGAAACAGAACATGTAAGGTACTTACAGGGTTTGTATTATTGGATTTGATAGTTTATCTTACTTTAACATTATTTTTTAGTTGATTTTAGAGAGAAGGGGGAAGAGGGAGAAAGACAGAAAGGGGGGGGGGAGAGAGAAATAGATTGATTGCCTCTTGCATGCCCACTGACTGGGGATCGAACCTGCAACCTAGATATGTGCCCTGACCTAGAATTGAACCTGCCACTCCTTGGTGTACAGGATGACACTCTAACCAAACCACACCTGCCAGGGCTCGCTTTAACATTATTTTAATGAGCCATGGTGGATCTGAAATAGGGGAGCGCCAACACCATCCTGCTACTGTTTGGACCTGTGCTGTACAGAAAGGTAGTGCCTGGCCACATGTGGCTACAGAACAGCTGAAATGAGGCTAGTCCAAATTGAGATGTGAAAAAATATACACACCAGATTTCAAAGACCTAATACCAAAAAATATACATATACTAAAGAACCCGATTTTCATATATTTGTTTGTAATTTCAATGTGATTAGAAAACATAAAGGCGAAGGATTATTCCTTAAAAGGAATAAATTAACAGGGCTCCTTGTTTGATGAGATAAAAATGAATAAAAGAACCAAGAGTCATACACAAATTACAAACAGGATTCACTAATGCTTAAAAGAATAAAATAACTAACCAGAAACTGGCTGTGAAGAAAAATCGCAGCAGGTAATTCCAAGGTCATGTGCTTTTTCACTATGCAGACACCTCATTTTATCATCCCACACTGTTAGATCACCACAGGAGGAGCCAGTGACAAAGAGGTTCCCGTCGGGAGAAAATGCACAGGCCACCAAGGAGCCATCCTTGACACAACCACATCTGGAATGAAAGCAAGAAAAGGAGGTTTTCATTTCAGAGGATCTTTTACTTTGTAGCACAATTTCTAACAGAGCTTGATAAATGGCTTTCACAGAACTAGGAAGAAAGGGCTACAGATGCCTATAGAAATAAGATATCATTTTTACGCTATAAACTGAAACCTGCTTTCTAAAAATAAGAGGATTTAAACATTATCTTAACTAACATGTTCAAGCCTGAACTATGGGGATGCAAACCAAAGTTCATGTATCTTCATATTATTTTCCCACAGAGCCTATCAGTATGAACACATTAAAATCTACAAAACTTAACAAAAGCAATGGCAACCAACAATATCAACTATAATCACTTTTTAAAAGATGAAACAATTTTTATTGAATAACATGCTATTGGGGTCAAAGGTACTTTCAACTTTTGTATTAAAATCACCCAGAAGCAAAAGGCCTTTCACCTCATCTTCAAATACAAATTCTTTGTGAAAAGAAAATGCTGTGGACAAGCTAAAATTATTTTGGGACAGACAATCAAGAAGTGCTGTGCTACTGAGCTAACGATATCATCTTCTCAGGGAAAATAAACCAGTAAAAAAATGGCAAATGGTGCCATGTCCCATCCAGTGTTTAAATCTACAGTAGTGTACCATTTTACATCATTAATCACAAACATTAAGGAACTAATGCTACAGAGGCAGAATTCAAAGATTTCTCAGCTGACAGCTGTAGGTTATTCATAGAAGGTAACTTAAGGACATTCCATTCTTTCTGTGATTTCTCTTCAAACAGCTTATTAACACCACTTGAAACACATCACCTTCTTCAACCCAAAGATCTAAACCTAAATGAGCAACATTTGTCTACCAGCTGGCATTTGTGCTCGAATGACGTTGAGGGGTACAGAGAGGGGAAGGTACATTAGGCTATTTTAATTGGTAACATTTACATGTTTATGATTTTTAATGTCGTTAATGTCAGTGAACTGTACACTTAACAATGGTAAATTATGTGTTATAAACATTTCACCACAATCTAAGTACATAGTTTTAACGTTGGTCTATTGTAACAGAACATTACTCATGTAACTTAACTGATGTATTTTTAGCCAACAGGAGTTTTTCAGGTGTTGAGTTTTTGGGGGCTTTTTTGTGTGCTTTGTTTTTAATAAATGATAACATAATACCACTCTAATCACAGGGTTCTTTCTTCTGGGCTTGGTCATTCACCCTGCAAGAATCCTCATCAGGAAGAAGTTGTGTCTCTTAAGTGAGACTTACCTACTGTTACTTTATTAAGAACACCTGAGCCAATGAGCTACACTATTAAAACCTAAAATTACTAATCTTATTCAAGACTGTTTTCTTTCCCTAAGTCTCACAGTAAAAGTCCATAAAAGTCTAACAAGGTTAACCCTTATTTTACAAAACAAAGATTGAAAGTTTAAAACTCTCAGCGCCAAGCCAACCTGCTACAAGAATCACACTTAACATCTGTTCTTATGACTTACAGAAAGCAGGTCAAAATATTTTTCCTTGTGATGTCTGAAAATTACCTGATTCTTAAAAGTCATCAAAATATTCTTTTTTTTTTGGTAGGCCTGTTAAAAGGATTGAAAACAGAAAGGGTTTAAATGTTCATACCTATGTAACCTGTATGACTGCGCATTCCACAAAACAACAGTTCCATCAGCTGCCCCTGATACCAAGCACGTGGAGTCTGGGGAGAACCGGCAAACCCTCACAGGGCTCCCGCTGGGCTGTTCCATCACTGCCAATGTCTGTCCATTGTGAGTGTTCCATAGGACGGTGGTACCATCTGTTGAACATGAAGCCAAAATATGTCCTGAAGGGGAGAAGCAGCAGCAGTGGACGGCATAGGTGTGACCCTTCAACGGAGAGTGTGGCAGTTCAGTAAAGTCACTTAGGGAGTACAAGCGAACTGTTTTGTCCAAGGAGCAAGTAGCCAAGAGAGAAGAGGAGAAGGCACAGCAGTTGACATCATCACCATGATCGGCTAACGTGTGGATCAGTTTCACCATGTTCTTTATTTGAAGTAAAATATCCTGCAATTTTTAAATAGATAACAGTTACTTCACCCTAGAAAGCAAACAAATGCAACTCTAATCCATATACAAGGGCCAGAATAGGTTTAAGAATTTGTTCAATGAAAGCTCCTACATTTGTATTTTTAAAGGACAATCTATTATACCAGGGATAAGGGTAATTTGGCGGAAAAAAAAACCAAAACATTTATAAGACTATAACCTCTGATGATCACAGTCACCATCGCCATACCAATTAAGTTCCTTAACTCCTAAAAAAGAACTTCAAGTAACTCTGTCAACTAACTTGAAACTGATTAGACATTGACTATCTTAAAACCTCAGGAATTCCTTTCACCTTTGAAGATTTTCCCCTAACTCATTACTTCTCCTCACTGCCTCATTCCAGATCTGCTCATCTCAACTCAAAAAGATTTTCAGTATTTTAACAAACTGTCTCAGCTGCTCCTTCCACAGGATGGAGCCAAGGCTACTGCTCTGCCTTTAAGATGCAGAATGGTAGGGTTCACTCATAAAAACAAAAAGTTTCCTTCAAAATTTAAGTGGCAGCGTAGTAAACTATAATGTCATGGTTTGTCATCTTGTGTGATAACGAATAAAATGAGATGAAGAACTGAATTAATGAATCCAGGAAACCAAGAGAATGAAACTGACAAATTCAGAATAAAATCCAAACTGCTCACCAGGGCTTCAAAAACCCTGTATGACCTGGCTCTTGCCTGCCACGTTCCCTCTCCCTCACTTCTTTCCAGTCTCCCTGGTCAAACAGATTCCAGATCTTCAATCTTCATAAAGTGGTTTTCTTATGTTGAAATTCTCTCCCCTTGCCTTTTGGGATCCTATTTCTCATTTAAATCTCAATTTCAGTGTCCCTCTTGAGGGTTCCCAGTCTAAAGCAGCCACTCTCTAGCCTAAGACATCAGTCCTCAGTGTAGCAATTACCACCATCTGATGTAACTTGTCTCTCTCCCCATTAGGATGTACGCTCTAAAGGTGCAGAGATCTCCATCTGGCTCATTTCTGTATCCACAGCATGTGAAACAGTGTTCAGGCACATACCATGTTCAAATAAATATTTGTTGAATATTTATTCTTTTCCAAACCCAACTGAGTTCTAGCCTTTAAGCATTACGTGAACATGATGCAAAATGAAAAAATGTAAAATAAAGCTACCAATATTTAACCAAATATATATATATATTTGGTTAAATATTGGTAGCTTTATATATATATATATATGACAGTGGAAAAATAGTGTAGAATAGGGTAATCAACCATTAGCCCTGAAGGGACAAGCATAACCTTGGGTTGTAAAATTTATAATCTCTCGTTCTAATCTTATTTACAGAAATCTCTACAAAAAGATGGCATCTTTTAACCATTTTCATCTTAGCTCAAAAGTTCAGCCTCTTTTTTCAAACATGAACTCCAATAAAGCCTAAAACACACAAAAAACTAAAAAACAACAAAAACCACACGCGTAAAATCCGAGTATTATTGCACTGAAAACAAGCAAGCGCAGGTGGTGGCTTCTGGAAAGCTCCCGAATCCAACCGTGCAAGTGCACGGAGGTAATTTTCCAGC